ATGTCCAAAAGCTACGCCAACGCGAGAAACTCTGAACTATATTGAATGAAGGGAACTGTGGAAGGATTAGATTATCGCTTACCTTGCGGATTCAGACATGTGTATCTGATCCCATAGTTCATTCAGTTTGGCGACAGCTCTCCTAATGTTATTTTCCACATCACGAAATGAGTCGTTAACTGACAATCTGAATTAAAATTGGACAAGGTGATCAACGACTAACCAAAAGAAGCTGTCTTACCTTCTTGCATTTACTGTGCTTCCTACACGAAATGGTGAGACCATGTCTCGGGCTCCGAGTTTCGTTAGTTGAAGATCAATGTTTAGTCTGAAAATGGAAACGTTGACGCACGTTCAGAGACACGTAGGGGATCTAAGAGCGTAAATGTTTCAAGAAAAATGGCATGCGAATTACTAGAATCTTAAACGCATTTTGAAGTTCTAATCCAAAAAATCATTCATTCAACCGATGCTGCAGTCGCGCCTAAAAAGAGTAGGAGACAGATAGAACTAGAACTTCTAGAATGAGGCAAATAATCTTAACTAAGCTCGCAGACATTGTACAAAGAATTACAAAGTCCCAACCATAAAATCTCAATGGTGCAACCTTAAAATGTGTCAGAAAAGCTCACAACTTCAAATATTAAACGCCGATGACATATTCGAGGTCATAGTGGACGGAGTAGCGTTCGAAAAATTTGAATTGCCGCTACATGAAAATAACGCGCTCTAGTACGAATTATGATAGATGGCGAAACTATCTGTATTCGAACTATTGCTCCAGAATTACCTATAGACATGCGCAGACCTTAAAGTAGGACTGAAGACCCTTTTAATGATGATGTAAATAAATTAGTATCTATTGTAGCAATCAATAATTAGATTTGCATCTTTCCTATAGAACTAGTATAGTTTCGCAGTTGTCATCGGTAATGTTGGTTGTTCAAATTCAGGCTTTAAGGCTAGATCCATAGCCCGAAGTATTTGCAGTCATATTCATCCTTTTTCAAGCTATCTTGTCTGAAATGCTATTTCGATCTGGTCTTGGCAATTTCTCAGAAGCGAGGAGTTCATTAGAGCACGCGCATTGATCAGGTTCAAGTATGATGACGTGGTCCAAGATCCCCTACACTACCCACTCCTCTCCATCTTGTCTTTCCCATTTTGCAAACCTCGATGCGTCATTTTCAAATTACTAGTAAGGTTTAACGGCAAAACCATATTTTGCAAAATAATATAATTTACAGCTGAAAAATCGAGAAGGCGTGGGAAGTTTAAGTCCTACAGAGATTTCGCAGCCAATAATATATCCACAGGCACGCATGCATTTTGCACGCATTTAATATCTAGTTCCAAGATACACAGTATGTACTAGGTTTGCACCAAGTTTCAGAACAGTTCCACAATTTCCCCTTTGTACATTACGAGTTCTTTGAAATCCAATCTCTAAGTACAAATCAAAACATTGCACATGCGTACAATGTTCTTACGATACGGGGAGAGGATCTTTGATACCCGTGGTATTTCGGTGAAGCTGGCGCAGTGCCTGTGAGGCACATTGTTACGGTAGTGCGCTCTTTATCTCACGATTATCCGTTACGTTAATCATTCCTGGTATTGCTAGGGAACTCTGCAAACTGTGTCAACGAGTACACACCTCCGCCCTAATACGCTTATGGCAAGCGAGCAATTATCACAAAAATCGAACTGGAAGGATGAAGAAAAGAAATTATGTTTACTTGTAAAAGGCCACTTCTTGCAGACATCTCTCAAAAGTTATCTGTTTTAAAAGCTGGGCAGCCATTACCTTGTTACAACTCGACTAGAGTAGTATCATGATTGAAATATACTTTGAGAGCACAATTTTTGGGTTTAGGCATCCTAGAAATGTACCTAAACTGCATACTGGCTACTCGATTCAAAATGGAATTTTCTCTCTTGAAGTGTTACTGCCTGCAAGAGCAAAAAGAAAAGGATAAAACTTTCTTAACATAGAAAGGAGAGCAATTTGGCGATCAGCCCGTATCGAAATAAAAACGGTGCAAAATCGTAAAGTTCAAGATTACTTGAGCAGGTGAGCGGCGTGGGGTATGCCACCCTCATTTGGTTATCAACCAGGATACGCGGATATTGGCCCACCAATTTTGCCTCAAGTTATCCGTGACCAAAAATCCTGCCTTGTACGCACCTACATAGTATATTATAAAGTAAGGCTCCATAAAAACACACAAACCAAAATAAGGAGGGCAGAGCTAATAACTAAAGGAAGCAAG